TAAGTCAATAGAATGTGACTTATCACTTTTATAATATTAGAAAATAAAATGTATAATTTAAGGATGTATGGAATCATTAGGATCGGTGGGCAAGACTACTAATTTAACAACAGGGAGCACAAGTGTACCCTGGGCGGTTTGAACGCGCACTGCACGCGCAATTTTATCGGGTCCTGGCGTTAATATCATTATTCTACCTAAGCACCACATTAATGGAGACACGAGTTATCTTTAATAATGAACATGTCGCCCACGCAATCATTTGTGGTTGATCAGTTAACCATTTAGCTCTTTGTTGTAAAGTGGACAAGTATTCCGATGACCACCTATGCCAGAAAGCCCAGTACGCGGCGGAACAGCAAGTAACGGTTGTTATATAAGAAAGTACCCTGGTGTGAGGCAATCAAGATCATGCGGATTAGTGGACCTGGGGACAGAGGCCGAGAATTTCTATTCGGCGGTGAATTCTTCATGTGTAAACATATGAGAGCACTCATATTTATTAATTTTCATCTCAATATTATTATAGCTATAATATATTTATTACTTAAAGAAATAATTTTTATAATTATATTGTAGTAAGTATGTAACAAATACATGGAATTTACAAAGAAAGACTTATGTGATAAGTAAAACAAAATAAGATTTTTGGGAATGATCTAAAATATATATGTGAAGTCTAAACATTAATAGTTAACAATAATGTAATTATAACTTTAAGAAATCTACTTATGAAAATTAACTTGTCAGTATCTAACATTTAGTATTTAGTGATGTAATAATAAAACTCCCATTTAATCCACAATAAATGGTTTAAGTCTTTCGTCTATATTAGTATCGTGACAGTTAATTTTTTCGAAACCCAGATTTTTGTAACAATTATTGTAAATATTTTCACAATAGTTGTCAAAAAAATGACACGCAATTTGATAAGTTTGGATTTTTCGAGTAGTATTTGGATCATTCAATGTATTAACTGAATTCCTGAAATATTTTATAATATTTTTCCTATCAAAAAAAAGATTTTTTGTAAAATGACACCAGGTGTCAAAACGACTCGTGTTGCAATTAGTAATCTTATAATAAATGATATCAAGATAATCTTGAAAAATGTGCAGAAGACTTTGAATTATTTCATTAATTTTTTCATTATCATTTTGATCGACAAAATCAATTTGAAAATAGTTATTTTTCTTCAATAAATTGAGACTATATGATATCCATTCAAATATTCTATGTAAACTGGAAAGAGAGTTTATTTTAAATGTCCATATTGATGATTTATTTAATGTAATTAAAGCATTATACAACCCTTTAAGCATTTTTTTAGATTTGTTAAATGATTTAAATAATTGAATTAAACATTTGTTTTGGTGATCAATTGAATCTTTTTTGCATATAAACAATATAGCAGATAATAATGTTTGGTAGTTTTTTAATACTTCTGTATACTTACATCTTAATAATTGTACTACGTGTTCTTTTTTTATTCGAAAATTTATATCATTAATTTTTTCTTTTATTATATAATCTACATCGTAGTATTTCTTATAATAAACTATATTTATGTGATTCATTGATTTCCAACCAGTTTCCAAACGAAGAATATTGAGAGCATTAATGCTATCATCCTGTCTTATTTCTGGATCTATTGGTGGTGTGAAACTATTTTAAACAAAAATATTACGATTACTACATAAATACATTAATAATAAACGTTATCAAACATTATTAATGAGACATTTTATTCTGATCAATTTAGTAAAAAAGGTTCAGTCAATATATTATAATGCTAAAATATTAAAAATACAAATAAATACAATTCGGAAAAAAATTATTTTAATTTGATAAATTAAAATATAACAATTTTTTAGAGTATTATTTTTATAAATTTTAACACAGTTGGATATGTAGCATAGATAAAGTTGCAAGCAACACAAATGTAGTTATTTATTTATATGAAAACATAATAAAATTTAATAAATATATACCGCTTGAGATAATTCAATATCACAATACGAAATAAAAATCGTAGTGAAATCATATTATAATGTCATGATTATTATTTTTCAAAAATTATTTTAAATTATATTTCTTATAGATTTACTTTATACTAACACAGTAGTTGCGTCAATGTTTTACGTGTGTGAAAGGACAGGTAAACACAAATTAAATAGTACTCGCTGGGTTAATATAAATTTAAATAAAAATTAACCAAGTTATAAAATATAAGTTAATTCCAAGTACAACATTGTATAAAATATAATCTGTATATTATTACAAATAAAAATAGATGGATATGAATCGCGTGAAAAAGAAAAAACCAGATAGATCGTTTCCCATCAGAACTTTGTGTTCCAGTAAATAGACTTAGAACCCTAATTAAAATAGTGGAGGTATTTACTTTAAGATGAATTTGTGATTTATAAAGGTGATGAATGAAACTTAGTAAATGAGCTTTAAATTAATCACTGAATATACAGTATCAAGTCAATTCACATTACAATATATTTAATTATTTCGTGGCGAAATGACTTTTTTTAATTTATTTACGAGCCGTTGAATATCTACTATAATACGTTATAAATAATGACTTATCATAAGTAAACATATGCTTTAGAAAATTTTTTTTTCTATTTTTAATAAAAATAAAACAATTTTTAAATTTAAATATATTATTAGAAAGTAAAAAAAAATGTTAGAGTTCTTACTCAGGTGTTTCTGGGTTAAGCAACTTTTCAAAGCCAATATTTTTGTACCAAATTTCTATGGTTTCGTTGTAAAAAGAATTAAGTTCACTGCACATAGAATAAACATTAGCAAAGTTATTTTCGTTAGAACAGTCATCAATATTAATATTTGAATCAATAGAGCATTCTTTAATTTGATTTTCTTTCAAATCTGTATTCAAATCAGAAATGTCGATGATTTGACTATTTTGGAAAAGATCGTTTAGTATTTCTAATGCGTCTTCATAAAATTGTTTCAAATTCTCATATTTCGTTTTAGAATCTTCAAGATTTGGTAAGATGTTAATGTCAATAAAATAGGTGGTCTCTAATTTTTTTACAAATTGTTGAAAAAAATCAATTTCATCAATTATGGGATGCGGTGCGAGGCCTTCATGAAACAAAAACCTTATATCTATGTAGCTTATAAACTTCATAGCATTGTGGAGATATTCAAACATAGACTTGGAATTTTTCACTTCTGTTTCAAGTAACGATACACAACTAATAAAATTTTCCGATAAATTTCTTTCATGAGATTGCTTACATTTATCAATAATAATGTTTATGTAATAAAGAAATTTTTTTAGTATTTCAGTGTACTTAAAATTGAGTACACTTATTGTGTAACGATAGTTACATGAGAAATCATTTGATATATTATTTTCCTCTAAATCGGGATAATTTAAAGATTGTTTTAGTTTTAGATTTTGCATTTGATATGAACCAATTTGTGAATGAATATGTGCCACTACTGTTTTGATGTAATTTTTATAATGCTGATTATATTTTCTTTTGGGTTGTACTCCTTCAGTAGGATTCAAAACGAAAATGACAATAGATATTAAAATAAAAAAATTAAATTCCATTGAAAAAAAATGTAATATCTTAAAAATTTAAATCTCAAAACACTTGTTTGAAACTTAGAGATATTTAAAATGAATATGTGCAAATGTGTTTATTAAGTTATATAATTTTTCTTTGTGAAGATAAAAATATATATTACAATCCAATATAGTGTGAATTTTTTTTTTCAAATAATTTTTTATACAATATGTAAATTATTTTATGACTTATAATATGTTGAAAATTTTGTTATAAAAAAATTCTGTATAAAGACAATGATAGAAAATAGTTGCCTTATATATTTATTGATATAGTAATAATCAAAGTTAATGGAAATATTAACTAAAGTTAATTATGATCAATGTCGATAAATTAACAGTTAAAAGTTAACAAATTATAAATTTAACTAGCTAAGTTAAAAGATAAGTTGAATTTATTTTTAACTTA